GAATGCTTCTTTAGCTTCAGAAGAAGAAGAGTTCTTTCTGTATACACAGAAAGAAATCTTCTTCTTCTTAAGAATGCTTCTTTAGCTTCAGAAGAAGAAGAGTTCTTTCTGTATACACAGAAAGAAATCTTCTTCTTCTTAAGAATGCTTCTTTAGCTTCAGAAGAAGAAGAGTTCTTTCTGTATACAAAGAAATCTTCTTTTTCTTCTTCTCAAAAATGCTAGAGGACTATTAAAAATCTAATGTGAAGTCTCCTAAGTTGCTCGATCACCCATATAAAAATAAGTGAACACAATAACTAGATTAATAATGTCACATGAAGACAAAACCCAGACGTTTTGATTAAATATAGCCATTAATATTCCGGTAATAGCCAGCAAACTCGTAATAGTATTATCAACTCGAAAGAGTCGAATTGAATATATTCTAACGAAATAGGTTTGGTTTAATCTTGCAAAAAGGAACATTGACATACTGACCAAGGGAGGAGCGATTTGTGCCAAAACTCGAGCGAAATTCAATGCTTTTTCTTGATTACGATCAACTCTTATATGTTTTTGGGTACACTGCATAGATTCATTTAATAAAATCATAATATTATTTGCCAATAATGTCTTTGGGTCAGATATTTCTACTTTTACACCAGTTGAACAGTCGTATTGTACTTCATCACGTATTGTTGATTTGAAAAATGGTACATAAATTAACAGATAACCATATAATATAAGACTAATGAAAGATGCAATACTACCAATTCCAGCAATCCATTGGGAATAGACCATTGTGGCAAATCTGTTTGAAAAATTAAAACAATTTCTACATTGAAGCGTATATTCAAACTTCTCAAATAGTAGAGTAGGAGACGGAGTCTGACATGTATAAAACAGAAGCTGATAAGTAGCAAGATACAAATGTAGAAATTACAGTTGATCACAGAGCGGCAGAATCGTGTTTTTTTATCAGGACTCTCAATTCAGCTGCTAAGATCTGAGAAACAATTGATCATACATCCTCTCTCAAAAGTGAACTGTATCCGATGTTCAACCTATTGTTCTAGTAAGATCGAAAATACCCTCACAAATGCTTTATGATGTTTTTTGTTTTCTGCTGTTATAAATCCAGTAAAGCGGAAATCATTCTACCTACAATCTTGTTCTTTCAATTGGAACTTGGATGAGACGATGGTATTCTTTTAAAGGTACAGTTTCACGCGAAGGTCAAAAAGAATAAAATAATTTTTAAGTCGTATAATGAATTTTCTTTTTGCTTGTGTAACAGGTACAGTTTATCATTCCTTTATTAATATTTTATTTCACATACTGGACGATGTATATACGACTGTTCTTTCATGCATACGACCAACAAGTAAAAATTAGAATTAAATGCAGAGACAGTCACGACTTAATATTCGTGATCACCATAGTCAGTCGTATATATGTCAACTAAATTTTGACCCAACGTATTGCTAAAATTTGGGGTTGGGGATCGAAAACAAACCAAGGAAAGTTCTACTCTGAACGGGATTCGAACTCGCGTGTATACAGTGTAGAATTACTGCATATCATACTGATGAACCATCAGAGCTCAATCCGCTTCATTTGTGCTTTGTATTTATCTAATTCTGTTTCATAAGGAAAATAAATGCGATGAACTTTCTTTTTTATAGCACCAAATGCATGGGAAAAAGGTAAGCGTGCCTGTGTATGAGAAATTTATTAGATATAACATGTCTAATTAGGCCTTTCTGTTCCCGACATGTTGCATCCATAAATATATTCATTTGAAAGAAGTAAGTAGCATGCACTGGAGAATTGGCATCTGCAAATTCATTTTGTAAACAAAAAAATTGAACTTGCAAGAAAATTTGGGAGAAGTATTGATTTTATATCCTGGGCATAAAATACGATATTCAGGATATATAAGATATCCTAAATATCCTGAGCGGCGGAGTTGGCTGTGGGTACTCATACAACAGACAAGCATGATCTTTAATATGCTAAATCTTAGACATTGCATTATTGGGTTCTTGTGATCGAAACTAAACTTGCAGCGAGTGCGATCCCCCATGATGTCAAAGTAAGAAAACGTCAAAAGAGGATAACTTGTTGGTAAGTAAACTAAAATAACATTCTAATGTTGCACATCTCGCTTTCATTTAAAATAAAATGATACAAGAAATGCATAACATGAAGTAAATTAAAAGACGATGGTAGAATCAAATTGACGATAACGGCCACAACAAGGATGAGTTGTCTCATATCTTATATGATTTTATTATTATTTTTATCCTATAAGAATTTTAATTTTGCAAGGTATCAGAAAAACAATGGAAAAAAGTTTGCGAGCACTTTGATGTGTTTCTAAGTAAAACGTCTTTCGTTTTTTTCGCTCTCGGTTGAACCTCGTCAGTTTTTCTCACTTGCATCAGTTCGGTTTTAAATTGACATTTGTGCAAAGTGACTCAGTTTTCCAGTTTAAGGCTGATACTGATGCATGACTAAATCCAATCAAGAAAGCCTCTTTTATCCCGAGACGATGAGTGGTTCTATAAAAAGGATTCTTCACGTTGAACCCTGGTGTTAGATTATGAACCTTCTCCTAACCAAATCAAATCAAATCAAATCAAATTTATTTCATGTCATAGATGTTAAATTAACAATGGTACTGACAAAAAGTTAAATGAAAAACTTTGACTAGGTCAACACCAGTCCCATGGTATGCATTTCCATCGTTATCATCGCCAAATCTAGGATTTGCTGCAACTAATAAGGAAATCGCAGATATATTATGTATTCAAAACAAATATTCAGAAGCGTTGGTTCACATAAGAAATGGTGAGGAAGGAAGCTAAACAACTAGAAAGGAAGTACTGTCAAGAACTGCAAAAAGTAGAGAAAATAATCAAGCAATCAAATTAAGTGATGCTGGAGGAAAACTCAAAAAGATTTGCGAATACTTTCTACTCTAAGAACATTCTCCTGAAATTGATATTACTTGCTCTCTACCGACTTTCTAACTATTACCGTTTTCAAAAAGACACGTCCTCAACTATTTTCGAATAGCTCTAAGATGGAAAGAAATAGCGACCTGTGAAAATCACAGATCGATAACCAACACATGATTGCATATTGTCATGTGAAAAAACTTTCGAAAAAAGACAAAAAGCTGTTAAAGTCAGGTTTCCAAGAGGATCGAAAGCCTGTGTTCATGTATTGGTGAGGCTTCTAGGATTAGTCCTGGATGTCTCAGAAATTTGTTCCTGCGGCTGAACCATGCAGAATCAAGAGATCGTTTGGGTCCAGTTTTGTGTATTGTATATATCGCCACAATTCCTACAGTTCCCCGGTGAACTAATGTAAGGTCCCTTCCAGGTATTCACTAGCAATTAAAACTACATCCAGCAGAACTAACTCAGTTACACGTTTTCCCGGCTTTTTCTTCTTTTTTAAACAGCATTTATCAATATATCGCCCATATCACCAGAATTCCTACAGTTCCCCGGGTACTGATCTAAAGACCCTTCTAGATATTCACTAGCCAGTCAACCTGCATCCAGCAGAACTGACTCAATTCCACACTTCACCGACTTTTTCTGCTTTTTCAGATACTATTTATCCCTGTATTGTCTATATTACTACAATTCCTACAGTTCCCTGGGGAACTGATATAAGGTCCCTTCTAGGTGTTCAGTAGTAACTGAAACCACATTCATGAGATTTCACAGTTCCTCGGCTTTTTCTTCATTTCTAAATAATATTTAGCACTGTATTCACTATATTACTACAATTCTTACAGTTCCCCGGGAAACTCCTGTAAGGTTCCTTCCAGGTATTCAGTAGTAAATCAACCTACATTCAACAGAACTGACTCAAATCGACACACCTCCGGCTTTTTCTTGTCTTTCGAATTATATTTATTGCTGTATTGTCTATATCACCACAATTCCGCCAGGGAACTCATGGAAGGTCCCTTCTACGTATTCACTACTGTCTGAAAACACAAGGTTTATTACGAAAGTTAAAAGGGTGTAGAGAAGTGTAACCATTTTAAAACCCTTTTAGGTTTCGTAGAAGACAAAGGATGAAACCGATTTAGGGGGCTTGAAACGATTGATCAGTGGTTCATTATGTTATTTCCTCATGATTTTTTCTCGAAAAATTAAAACTTACAGAAGTTTCAGGTATTTTGCTCGCTCAGTTTTCGCCGCCGTAAACAGGTGGTTTTGTCTTAGAACCGGTTGTAGGATCAATACAGACTTTATTTTCACCTTTGCTATTATAAACTTCAATATCACCATGAGTATAATCTCATTAATATAAATTGCTATCGTCATCTTTTTTTACAGCATCTCTCCACGGTTTTAATTTCGTCCATATTGCGCTTTCGGATGGTTGCATTGTTGAATATTTCGGCTAATGCAACTAAAAAATAGTAAATATTCTCCTTTGGTGATAGTGTGGGTTTAGCGAACACAATAAGCTAAGATCAATTTGTCGTAATATCAAAAATTGCTATTGAAAATCCGCACACTTTAGAACTCATTGAAAATCTGTTCTAACAGTTAGAAAGTGAATTTTCTAAGTTTCTACCGATGGTCCAAAATATGGTTCAAAATATTTTCGTTTTTTGTAACTACTGTGTATTCAACTTAAGGCCTCCCCCCCAAAAAAAAGTCGACTTTCGTCAGAAAAATGATTTTTGAGATAGATATACGAGCATGTGTCGCTGAGATGTCTACTTCACAAATATATAAAAATATTATAGAATCTTGAAGATTTTTAAGTTTTTTAGAAAATTCGCCAGTTCTCTGAGGCGATTATTACCTCTTTATACGGTATGAATTTCACAAGAAAAAACTTTTTTCAAGGTCTCCATGTTTTTTTTGAAAGAAATTATCGTATAAATGATTTTGAACAACTTTTGATCCCAGAAACAGATTGAATCTGAAGAAAAGTTACAAGTACAAATTACAAGTTAAAATTGACCACTGTGAACGATACCATGGGCTTAATATCAGCAAAATACCGCCGGTATACCGATATGTACTGTTGGTGTTATTAAATGCAGTAACTTCAAGACATGAGTATGGGTAGGAGCACCTTGTACCTTATGTGAGGATCCAAAACCAAAAAATTAACGCCATCATACGTTGAACGAAGACTATTCATCGATGATTCTGATAAAAATGCGCGATTTTTGGTAATAATGTTTTCATTAATACTAAACCCGTGTTCCCCGTCAGCATTGCCGTGAGAAATAATTAAAACATTTTTGATCAATTTCGATAATGTCGGATATTTTAGTAAACCCATAATGGTCGATATAGACAAAACCTGTGACCAACAATAATCAATGTTTTGATAGACAATATGATTATTTCCGTGTTTATCCAGTATTCGTTTTTAATCACCTATACTCTATCACTTGTTTCAACTGAAGAAACCTTCCACTCGTCAGAAATACGATCTATTTCTGCGACACTTAGTAAATCTAGGGCAGCACGGGCTACACGAACTATTTGAGCTGCACTTGTTGCATCTGTTCTTAGTGAATGGTGTAGTACTTGTAACTCACGCAATAACCTATTTTTTAGTGGTAAATATCTCTTCAAATTATCAGCCATTGCTTCGCAGATATTTCGTACGTCATAGTAAAACGTTTTTTTTCTTCAACTGAAAGACTTATCAATAATTTTTTAGTTTTTTCGCCTAGAACGAAGAGAGTGGCTGTAGAAGGAGTTCGAACAAGAAGTAACTAACCAATTTGTATTTGTTTTTCAGGAAACCGTTTTTCTGCTACTTTGTAATCAATGTCAATTAATTCTTGTCCTAATTTTTGACTAATGTATTCAGGCTTTACAAATGATAATAACACTGTACGATATAATTCTGTTAATTCATGGTATAATAGATGAATTAATGGTCCCTCACTTTGAAACAAAGTCAAAAATTTATCAGATACATTCTGACATAAATACAATATAAAATTTAATCGCATTTTTTGATAATTGTGATGATAGGACAGATTAGTATACCTCTTATTATTTTGAATTTGTGACGGCTGATTCGTTGGCAGATATGTCCGAAAATAATCAGATAAAATATCCCATTGAACTGAATGAAAGAAGTGAACAAACGATGACAAATGTCAGACACTATAATAATATGACAGTAATATATATCTATTAATAGTAAGCGATTCACAACTTTCTCCATTAATACCCATCTCGTTGCTGCAAAATATAATATGGCCTTTTTGACAGCACTATCAATATCATCAGCTACATGAATAAAATCTTCTCTTCCAGCAGAAGAACTTTTATATTATGAATAAATATCCAAACATAAATCTTCAATATGCCATTTTTATGCCGTTGTACCTGTAGTACAACATGAAAGACGTTAGACGGTGTTCTCGTCAGCCAAATTTGTGTTCAATAAAATATTAGTAGAATTCATTGGGTGTACAAATTTCTTTCTCCACGAGATTTTCTAACGAAATATTAACATTAGGATTATCACGTCCAAGTATCAGTAGATGTTTTAATTTTATTCCATCTGTTGCAAATGCATCAATGATAGCAACACGAATTGTGCCTGCGTACGCACGTCTCAATAACACAGATTTATAAAATCGAATAATGACACCTTGTTTTGCATTACACTAATATCTCAATAACATGTCCAATTGCTTTTTATTTTGATTATTCGTTTGTTCATCAAGAATTACAACGAATTTATCAGCGTTTTAACATTTTCAACTAATTTCTTTTTAAAATACGGACCGAGACGTACGATACTTTATCTGTTTGTATATTGAATTTTTCCGCAATTTTTGAATCTGAAAGCATAATGCAAAATAAATCACCAATTTCATTGCAGGAGTTATAACTATAACCACGTCGCGTGACGTTCATCGCCCATAGCGTTTCTGCTTTGATCATCTAAACTCAATGGTTTATTCATACTGCTTACTTTCACTGTCGATAAGCTATTTGACGAAGAAAGGAGTGTCTGTTGTTGTACAACTAATGTTGAATTATTTTTTAATTCATTCGTTAAACGTATATGCTTATCATTCTTCATATATTGTTCAATGGCTTGCCAACGTTTATTTCCACAATCTAAATTGCTACTTTGACATAATGTACATTTAAATGTTGTGTCACAAGCACCTTATTTACACTAAATTTTTATGTGATTTCCTTCGATCATTCGATCTTCTGAAGTCAACGATTGTTAAATTTTGTTAATCGGAGAGGCATTACTTAATATGCGTAAAACAGAAATGACGATGATCGCTGGTTTCAAAACGAAAACGATATAACTTATATACATAGAGTGATCAAAAAGTTCTCGGAATCTCGTTCGTTGTATTCTATAATTGATGCTTTCAAAAGTTCTATTACATGGCATGATAAAGGCATGCATCCTCAACTACCATGCAAAGTTTCAAGTGAGCAACGCATTGGTGAGAGGTTGCTAGACATTCATTATCGTACGGGAAAGAACCATCCCTGGTTATAGTTTGTTTGAAAGATTTGAAATCAGAATAAACCTTATTTGTCATTTCTGCCATTGGAATCACCAAAACTCAGATAGTACAGAGTCCGAAAAAGGTGAATGATATATGGGAATCACTCCATGTCCCTGAAGATATATCTTTTATTTGTGTCTATTATTCTCTTGCTTTGAAACCTGAGTTAGCTTCTATGCTGTCAACCTTAAGTGAAATTTTTTCAATTTTAGTCAATGAGGAATGGATCAGCGTACTATGGGATATGGTAGACTATGTCCAAGCAGCATAATTCGAGTGCTAGTACGTCTATTTTTCATAATTTCAGGATAAGCAAAGATTTTTCGTGTGCAAAATCTTGGTTACTGGTCTGTTTATTCTAAGCATCTCCTCTATAGCGGTAATAACGTCTGAAAAGCATCACCTATATTCAGCGACCGTGCTGTAACGTACCTGATCTTCACCGCAAGACATCCCACAATTCTGTATAACCGCGGTTTACCGCCGAGCGAAAGCTGAGTCTTGTAAAGAAGAAGCATCAAATGGGAACATTATCGGTCCAAAATACGAGATTCGGAAAGTATGCCGCAGAATTTCATTAAATGGCGACAATAAGTTTTTGATTTCATAAATCGATCAGCAAATGGTGCTACTACTCAGATATACAAAAGAAAGCTTCTCACAGCGTGAGACAGAGAAGAGCGAGGACAGTTTCGAGAACTTTTTGATCCCCCTATGTATATAGACGCTTCGAGCGAAGTGGATTTGGCAATAAATAATATATGTATATAAGAGAAGAGACGAATCGGAACTCGGACAACGCAGTAGGGTGAAAAAAAGGATTTAATAGCTGCGCAATATATTATATTTAAAAATAAAGAAGAATTAATCGATGAACTAAGGAAAGAAAAACAGCTACTTGTCTATAGTGGAATAAGTTCAACACAGATAATCTCCAAAAACGTTGTCTCTATATAATGTGTTCTTTCAAGGTAATTTCTATTTTTTTTTCAGATTATGATGCTATTCTTTAATATTCTTAGAAAAAAGGGGAAAACCAACTTGAAAAGAGGACAAAAGAGAGGATGAATCGGAGGCCAGATTAAAAGAAATTAGGCTAAAATCTCAACTGGACTATAAAAGGTATAATCACTGTTGAAAGTTATTCATAAGACGGTGCACTGCACACAATCAGTAGTAGTTTTGACTTTACACTGTTCACAAGGAGAAATACATAGATGTCTTGGACATACCAATAAGGCATCCATGATATTCTCACAAACAAAGTGATCTAAAATAAAATAAAATTCTTGTTATTGCTATTCAGCTCTATTACGCTCAAAATAATTCAGAACTTTGAATTTTTTAAAGGTTCATGAACGATTTCAAAACAGAACAGCATGATGAATTGAGAAAACCTTCAACAAGAATGTTTGTACTTCATTATCGTAAATTTGTGACTGATAGCTGTATTAATAATGTGTGTTGCGAATTTATTCTATTTAACTACGATAATGTATTCCAAACTAACTACAGTAGAAGAAAAAACACAGCAGTATCTCTATAAACAGGAAATACATCGAAATTCAGAATAAAGGTTACAGAATAAATGTATGCTCGCTAATTAAAATATTCATTGTTGTATTTTACAACCGAAGTACAATGACTAAAAGATGGTTGCTGTTATTTTCGTCTAATAGTGCTGTAAATAATGTTATAACACAAAACTCTTCGCTTTGTTCTTTGTGTTTGTCACTGTCATCACCAATATCATATTAATTATTTCCGTTTGGATTATTGACCGTGACAGTGTCATCTTGTTGGATTGAATGATCCAATGCAAGTTTCTGCTTGAGAAGATCACCAGCTGATATATAATTGGAAAGAGATTCCGTAGGACCACAGTGATCACCTGAATTGGTGATAGCATCATTTGTACCGTCATCCGCATCGACAATACTGCTTATGTTTTTTTTCCTTCGAATAGTCTTACATTTGTCGGGTAAAATCAACAAATCTCTTGATATCTTACTATGTTTTTCTATATGTTGCATATCATATCATGCGAAGCGCTCAGCTCGATGATTAATCGAGTAAGCCCATCAGTATTTGTTTTATGTTATTCAGAAGTATCACGTGTATATGACTGCGGTATATGACTTAGACAGCTATCATTTAATGCATTGTCATCACAATCGATCGAATTTTCCGTTTCTTTTTATCCTTTCTTAAACTCACATTCATCGTAGTTTCCAGTATTTTTAATTCATTAGTGTCCATGTCATCCAAGAAACTATCATTTGGACCAATCACTGGACTATTTTCTACCTGTTGAGTATCAGCTGGAACATTATGTAACGATCCATAGTGTGTACAACTTCTGTTAATTCAGAGAGTTTTGTTGTATGATAAATTGTATTGAATGCTATCGCATTTAATTTCGTCACGTTTATGATCGAAGATTTTACGTAGTAGATCATTATCAAATGTTTTCTCACTATTAAAGATTACATGTATCAGGACAAGTTGTGCGCTACCCGATCAGCATGCAGCTTTTTCAGTAACTGTCATAAAAACAATACGATTATCTGGATCATCGTCAAAGTCTGGTAAAAAACAGCGTTCGATGTTCTCACGACTTCGACGACTGAAGTACTGAATAGTATAATCACGCATCATTTTTCGCGCTGGAGATTTAGATTCACCAATATTTATCTAAAACAAGTAAGAATAGTCGGTTACTACAGGAACATTGAGATACCTTACAAAAAAACAGATATTTTTAAACGACAGACAATTTAAGTAAGCTATAATTTCCGAAACATCTGGCACATAAAACTATAATAATTTAGTTATTATTATGGAATAATGATTCGTCTCCCGACTCCTTTGCCGATGTATTAGAATTTTCTAACGTCATATGACACCACAATATATACTGGGAATCAGCGCATCAAGTTCTGTAAATCTGAAACGATCCAGACTCAATCATAGTAAATGTCGTTGATTCCGTAAAAATATCATGCTGCAATGCATAGAATTTCTTCTGAATTTGAACATGGTGTTCAGTACTTGATTAAACGTTCTTTTTGACAAAATGTTTTTTGTATAATGACTTCAAAATGTATGTCTGAAAGGTGAAAAAGCGATACACTAGCTCTTTTGAGTCAGCTCTTGAAGAAATTTCATAAGCCTTTCAAGATGGAATAGACGTTACAATTTCGCCTCTATTTTCTAAGTTTTATAACGAGCTTTTAGTTTTTAAACATATTATTAATTTTTTATTTATTCACATAAAAATGATTGAGAGCGACATAACTACAAGATACATGAAAACAAAATATCTACAAATGTAACAAAGACACAAAACTTGACAGTCATTCAGCAATAACTACTAGCACATGCAATAAAAAGACATTGTATTCTATTGGACTGAAGTGAGGTACCTTTAGATCAGATATCTCTAAAATAACATATATTTTTAATGAAAAAACTCTGAGTAGTTCGAGCACCAATTGCCGTTTTGGATATCTGATTCTTACCTGATTGAGACTCACTATTTATCGCTAATTTGTCGATACGATGTTTGGCTGTTGCCAATATTTTCTCCACTGCAGCTTTTCCACGTATTGGTTTGCAGAATTTTGTATTTTTATCAGCCATTACAGTTTGTATGTGATCGATTAATTTATAGTCACTTTATTTGACAATTAGCCCGTAATATAATGACCTAAAGTGCAATGCAGAAGAAATTATAAACAACCGTAAATTAATAATGTACTTTCGCATTAGAAACTAAAAGAGCCAATTATATACATGCGAAAAACCAAATTTTTCCTGAAAATGAAATCTGATGTTTCAAAAAACAACTAGTTAAACCACCAATTTAGCAATGGTTCAACAGAAAACGAATACGATTGACTAAATGTAGCCTTTAAAACATGGAACATTTTGTTTTTCTTCGATTTCATGAATATGTTACTATGTCATTGCAGCAAGCCGATGACAACGCAGACTAACGAGGGAACGTTCCCAAGTGCCACGCGCCGTTTGAGTAGAGACCTATGCCATTTTGTACAGCTCAACGAGAATAGCTCATGGTATGAAATATTCGTCCCCATATGCAGCTGTTCAGCGGGTGCATCAATTTCAGGTATAGAAAATTCATGGTAAGATAAGATGCTCCAAATTCAAAATTATAGCACTATTTTATTTTTGGCTTAATCATACATCATTCGATAGGGAATTTAACGCTGATCAAGAGTATCTGACCTTTAGTTTTCCCAGTTCACATTATCAGTGAAAAAAATTCAAAAAACTTGAACGATCTTTTTTTTCGAAAAACCATTAACCTTTTTTTAAAAACTGAATAACTTGGTTCCGCCTCATTTCAAAGCCGTGAAACTATGTTTTTCTTATTCAACTCTGAAAACTGCATCTAGAAAACTGTATATGAAGGTTCAACACCAAAAAATATTTGCTCGGCGCGAAACGGGACCGATAAATCTTCGGTTTGGAGACCCTCATCTTGCAAACCTATCGCAGCTCTTTGATTAAAACATGAAGCCAAGTTTCATATGCCATTCGATTCGCCCTGAAACGTGAAAAAAAAGTATGAATTAAAAATTGTTTTCGTTCTTGAGATATTTGAATTTTATTAAATCGGGCAAGTCGTTTTTCGATAACTTTTTCGTTTCTTCACATATATTTTTCAAAACTATACTGTTGGATAGCCCTTGAAATTCTCTACAAACTGAGCTAGTCCGACAATCTAGGTCGGTCGGCCCGGCCATCAGGAACATGCAAAAAACGCGTTGGACGTACGGAAAACGCCTGTGGAACACTTGTTTAGTCATTTTTCTGTCCTAATGAGAAACTATATATTTTTTAAAAGAATATCATTGGATAACCCATGAAAGTCTCTACAAACTGAGCTAGTCAGAATATCTAGACAGGTTGGGCCAGTCGTTAAATATATGGAAAAGAAGCGTTTGGGTGGTATATATGCAGTACAGTGTGTCATGATCACAAGAACTCTTTTTATTTTCCAGTAAAAGCTGAAACAAATCGGAATACTGTCTTGAATAGCCCGAAGATTTTTCTGTCGGATGAGGTGCATATCGCCGTTTTATGAGAAAACTTGATAATAGGGTTTCTGGAAGACCCGACCGCCAGAATACCAAGTCTTTGAATTTTGGTCAAAAATTTTTGCAAACAATATAGTCTGATAGAGCAAAGAATTCTGAGCAGAATACAATATCTCCCGGCTATCTATAACATCTTTTCACGGGAATACTTTAGTGATTTTCACGCTCTTTGTAGCCATTCGTAAATCGACTGCAGTGGGTGAAAAGGTGTTATAGATAGCCGGGAGATATTATATTCTGCTCAGAATTCTTTGCTCTATCAGACTATATTGTTTGCAAAATTTTTTGAGAACCTATTCAGCGAACGATATTCAGCTTCAGAGTACTATAACGGAGCAGTTAAGCCTTAAAAGCCGAGGGGTGTTTTTTTGACAACGGGAGGAAGTCGATCAGGCTGCAGTATGCTCATACTATAGCTAAAAAAATTAGCTTT